TTCATCCCTCTGTGAAACATCCGACTCTGTGAACACGTAAAGACAGATCTTAAGCTACAGGTGTCGAATCACAGACGAAAAGTCTTTTACCTAGTAGAACAAAAGGTAAACTCGAAATCACAAAAAACATAGGGTTTATGTGTTGGTTTATGTGTTCGCTTCAATTTCTGAACAATTTCATTGCACCAGACTGTTTGTGTTATGATTCTGCTTGCAATTTGTGTTAGGGTTTTGGTTTTGAGTTGAATTTTTAGAACATGTTTTCAAAATTGCAAAAAAATAGGGTTTATGTGTTCGCTTCAATTTCCAAACAAATTCATCGCACCAGACTGTTTGTGTTATGATTTTGCTTACAATTTGTGTTAGGGTTTTGGTTTTGAGTTGAATTTTTAGAACATGTTTTTCGGCCTTATGAATGAATGATTGTTAGGGTTTATAAAAATCCAAGTTTGGGCATTATGGGTTTTGCCTTAATTTTTTTTGTTATGTTGATTTTGATTGTAAACCAATATTCTAACTTCTGAATATGGTTAATTTAATTTTTCTAACTTAATGTTCAAATGTAAATGAACATCTCTGACTCAATTTTTGTAACTTAATTTGCTTCACAAGGTTCAATTAGAAAAAGCATGGACAACACAATGATTAAAATTGCGCATTTGAAAGTTTATTATTTGTTCATGAAATCTGTTATTTACCCAAAATAAGGATTACTCTTGGATATCTGTCTATGGAATATGGATTACTCTTTAGATATCTGTGTAAGAAGGGTATGAAATCTGTTTATGGAATATGGATTACTCTTGGAAATTTGTCTAAGAAGGGTATGAAATCTGTCTACTGAATATGGATTACTCTTGGATATCTGTCTAAGAAGAGTATGAAATCTGTCTATGGAATATGGATTACTCTTAGATATATGTTTTCCCAAAATAAGGATTACTACTTGCACCTATCATATCAAGTCTCCCACATATGATCACTATGCAATCCTACCATAGTAAGAAAACTACACATGTTCATACCCTTCTTAGCAATTATGTATTGAAAAACATTAATCCTGAATCTGTATGGAATTTTCTCCTTGAAAGGTTTCCAAGTTCCTTTGTCTATGTATCATGTCTGTTTTGTATATTGTATACAGATTAAAAAATGGCTTATTTCTCTACTAACAAAAACAACATAAGATTAAAACCAAGAATGTGTGATTGTGGACAAACAGCTGCCATGTACATTGTCTAGACCAATGAGAATGGAAATCAAGGGCGTTTGTTCTTTATTTGCCCATCAAAATATGTAAGGAAATTTGTTTGGAAATTGATTAGCCTAATTTGATTAACTAATTGTCATACGTTGTAGAGTAATAAGGAACACTGCGATTACTTCAAGTTCGCAGATGATGATGACGACGACATGATCTCCACAATCCGTTCCAATGCTGCACCTCGTAAAGCTATAAGAAACGAAGAATTTAATGATCTAAGAACAAGGGTTTCAGAGATGGATAATGAAATTGATGAGCATGGTAGAAGGTTTCGAATGATGGAGAAGAATTTCAAGGCTATGCTTTATGTTATTGTATTTTGTATTGTTTTCTATTTTATAATGTAAATTATTCAGTTGTAAGCTTTTTTGGAATTCGATGGATGTACTTATGGATTTAATGGACTTGATGGATTGTGGGTATGTGTTGTGATGATTTGAATATGGAAATGAAAAACCTGTTCTGTTTTCTATTGTTGTTGATTTACATGTTCTTGAATGTGAGCAACAAATTAATAAGGCCAAAATACATGTTCTAAACCTGATCTACTATTGATTTACATGTTCTTTTTAATTATTATTATTATTTGATTCAAACATGTTCTTGAATGCGAGCAACAAATTAATAAGGCCAAAATACATGTTCTAAACCTTATCTACTTGTGGATTTACATGTTCTTTTTTTTTTTTTTTTTGTGAGCAACAAATTAATAAGGCCAAAATACATGTTCTAAACCTGATCTGCTCTGTTTATGAACCAAAACCTGATCTGTCCATGAACAAAAACCTGATATGTCCATGCTTTTACCTGATCTGTCCATGAACCAAAACCTGATCTGTCCATGTTTTTACCTGATCTGTCCATAAACTAAAACCTAATCTATCCATCAACCAAAACCTGATCTATCCATCAACCAAAACCTGATCTGTCTATGCTTTTACCAGATCTGTTCATGAACCAAAAGCTGATCTGTCTATGCTTTTACCTGATCTGTCCATGAACCAAAACTTGATACATCCATCAATCAAACCATGATATGTCTATACTTTTACCTGATCTGTCCATCAACCAAAACATGATATGTCCATGCTATTACCTACTCTGTCCATAAACCAAAACCTGCTCTATTTGTGTTTAATAAATTGTTACAAAACCTATTCTGTTTTCACCCACAAATTAATCAAAATTCAGTTTTCAGCAAAAACTGTTGTGTCCATGAAAAACCTGCTCTGTCCATGAAGAAACTGTTGTATTTGGATTGAACAGAATATAACAAAAAATGGGATTAAAAGAAAACGAGTAATTAAAAGAAAAGAGAATAAAATAAAGCAAAATTATAGGTGAAACAAGATGACACACTGATATAGAGCTCAGCATGCAACAAAAGCTCATTCATGATAACACCAACAGAAAAACTCATATTTCTCAAAATTTTCCATAGAAGACAAACCAACACAACTTTAAAAGTATCTCAAGTAGAGGCTCCCAGTTTCATACAATTTCATACACATCCCACTAATTCAACTTTCACTCATAATTAACCAAAACTAACTTCATTTACAAATGAAGCAAAACAAAATCTACAAATTGTAGCCAACGTAAATGAAACCAAACTATCCAAACTGTCCTTTGGTTACAAATAATTGTCATCAAATCACTGATTCGGCACTAAAAATGAAATGGGGCATTTGGATCTGCATCTATATTGAAGTCAATAAATTTTGAAGCTAGTGTCGAACTTTGACTGCTTATATTCATTCTTGCTTGACTATGAGATGTGCTTCCAATATTGTCCACCATTTGCATTGGGGTAACCCCTGCCTATAAAAACAAACTACGTATTACAAATATTGTCCAGAAACATATTGACTAATGTGAAATTTAATGGATGTAAAAAAGATTTGTACTCATATCTTCAACACATACCGGTACATACATACTCTCTTGCGTGCCATTCAGGCAAGGAAAGTAGTAAGATTGAGATTGTGGCACCTTATGATGAAATAGTACCAACATGCGATTAATAATTTGACAGATTAAAAAAAAAAACAAACAAAATCAATATAATTATGAGAATACATACCGGATGGTACATTGTGTCTTGCATGCCTTCTGTAGAATCAAAGTTTAAGTTACGAGATTCACCTTGGCGCACCTTATGACCCTATAGTAACAGACATTGGTTAATAATTTAAGTTAAAAAAATTAGAAATTTACATATCAAACGAAATTTACATATCAAACTTTACCTGTGCATTCGTAGCCTTCTCATGCTTTCCCTTAAATCGATTCATGATTTCATTGACTTTGCTAACCTTCCCTTCTCAAGGCATTGTCATTGAAACAACTCGAAAATTTAAATTATCCCTTAAATTTTATTATAGTATTATTTAATTATAAATGATTTCAAAAAATAATTTTAACTTTATATTATTATTCGATATTATTTTCTGAGTATTATGGTATTTTTATTATATTTTTCCTAGATTAAAATATACTGAAATATAACATTTTCTGTACAACAAACTTACGTGCCTCCCAAGTCTCTTGCTGCTCAAGACTCTTGTCGCCACGCCACAATTCACTATATATATATATATATATATATGTCAATCATCTATGCATCCCCCAAGCTCTCTAATCCTCTCTCTAGCTTCTAGTTTTTTATATATATAAAACTTTGAGTTTAGTTTGGAGTATTTAGTGGGTGGCAATGAACGAAAGATAAAAATTGGAATTAACATTTAGGTGAGTTATATTATACCTTGAGTCACCATCATATATTTTACGTATGTTTTGAGTTACCGTAATTTATTTTACGCAATTTGTGTTTTATAAATTATATTAGCATTTTTAATTTATAAACTTTATTTTATATAACAAGGAAAACCCATGGATATAATTGTTTATTAAAATGTGTTTTGAGTAATTATTTAATAAGTACCACCACGGAGGTCCCATGCCTTGGGTACTTAAATAACCATTGGCCCTCTGATTAGTCACTTCGTGACCCTCTGTCTGTCATGGATCCACTGACACTCTGATTTTTGGTGTGGAGCCAAGTGCTGTACGGAGCTAAGTGCTACACTACCGTGAGAGCCACTTCTAGAGTTTATACGAGCCACCTCTTAAGTTCATACATCTGTTCTGTTCTGTACCGTGGTTATGATTTCTAGTGTGGAGCAAAGTGCTGTACGGAGCTAAGTGCTACACTATGGTGGAAGCCACCTCTAGAGTTCGTACGAGCCACCTCTTGAGTTCATGCATCTGTTTTGTTCCGCTCTGTACCGTGGTTATGATTATTTTGTTTATATGATTTCTGTATTATATGTCGAATGATCTCTATATTATATACTTTGTATTATAATATCAAGATTTGTTTAGCCAATAATTATCCATGGTGAATTTTGTGCCCTTATGCTCTTAGTATAATATTTCTCACTCTGCCATGTGCTTATAGCTGTTTACCAATTTTCAAGAAATGATGCAATTCAGAAATAGCTTTTGGAAAGTCTTAGAAGCGGGGATGTGAAATAGACACACAGAGCACTTTTATAGTATTTATAATTCTATTCTTCATATGTAAATATCGGCCTTTTGGTCAATAAATTTTTGTTATAAAAGTAAAAGCTCCAATGATTATTTTAGTACCCTCACGTAAATATTTTTTTGCTCGCGTTTAGTAGCTGTTTAAGAATTGGCCGGAGGTAACTTCAATTACTGACCATCATGATGCTTAACCCTTGGGTATGGGGAGCGGGTCGTGATAGTCATACTGCTCAACAAATTGCTTTAAAGTAGTCTTCGAGTTCACATATCCATCCAAAAATGCATTCATGCTCTTACTTCGCTGTGTAGTTGACATGCCAGCCCAAAAAATGTCTTTCACATAGGCAGGAATCCACCTATGTCGTTGATCGTATAATACCCCCAACCATTCATTATCATAAAGACTGAACTTTGCAAGCATTGCTTGCCATTCTTCATCAAATTCAGTTTTTGTGAAACTATCATAAACTGCATTTTGCAAAGGGAACTTGATAGATTCATATTGGGAATATCCTCTCAATTTCTCCAGAATTTTCTTCATTATATACCATAAGCACCATCGATGTCGAGACTGTGGGAATACAATTAATATGGTATTTTGAATCACTCTGCACTGGTCAATTATTATGGCTTTTGGGTGAGCATCTGACATGCAACCTAACCATTCTCTAAATAGCCAAACAAATGTCTCCGTGTTCTCATTACATAACAGCCCACAACCAAACAAAATTGATTGTCCATGGTGATTAACTCTTACAAACGGAGCAAATGGCATATCATATTTGTTTATCAGATAGGTTGTGTCAAATGAGACAGCATCCCCAAATGCTTTGTAAGTCGCCCTATTTCTTGCATCCGCCCAAAACAAGTTTCGCATGCGACCATCTTCATCTAAGTCAATTGCAGAATAGAAATTCGAATTTTGTTGTTGCATGTCATGAAAATAAAGTGTAAGAGAATCAGCATCTCCTACCCCAAGTCTCAATTTCCTAGCATTCTCAATGTGATTCCTTGCATCTCGTGTATGTACTAAGAAATTGGACAATTGGACAATTGAGTGAAAGAAAAGTGAGTTCAAAATGAGTCCAAAGCAAGTAGTCAAGCACTATCTAGTGTGACGAGTCTCAAGGTCTTGTGTGAGAAAGACATAAAGTGTGAGTGCTTGAATATATGTGTGAGTGGATAAGTGAAGTGTATTAGTATGTTATTGTGTACAAGTGTTTTGTGTACTAGAGTGTTATCAATAAAGGTTGTATTTCTGGGTCCACCAGTGTATCAAACTAAACATTTCTCAATTCGCTTCATGGGTTGTCAAATTTTCTTTCCTTTTTTATCATCCTCCATCGCAACAAACGAAGCAATAAAGAAAATCACTTGCAGATCAAGTAACAAACACAAGTAGAGAGAGAATCAAATACTATAAATGATACCCTAGTTATATATATACATATACAACCTAATTGGTACTGCCTGGAATCACTTCTCTATTTTCTTGTAAATGTTATGAATACTCCCTGGTTGGTTGCTAGGAAAAGAAAATAAAATACTGAAAAAGTTGTGTTTTTTATTTAGGCCAAATTACATTTGGTGTTCTTAAATTTTGTTCCTAATTATTTTAATTAGTTCGATTTTGAGATTCGTAATTTTAGATTTTACCTCAATTTGATCTTCCTTGCATCTCGTGTATGTACTAAGAAATTGGACAATTGGACAATTGAGTGAAAGAAAAGTGAGTTCAAAATGAGTCCAAAGCAAGTAGTCAAGCACTATCTAGTGTGACGAGTCTCAAGGTCTTGTGTGAGAAAGACATAAAGTGTGAGTGCTTGAATATATGTGTGAGTGGATAAGTGAAGTGTATTAGTGTGTGATTGTGTACAAATATTTTGTGTACTAGAGTATTATCAATAAAGGCTGTATTTCTGGGTCCACCAGTGTATCAAACTCAACAGTTCTCAATTCGCTTCATGGGTTGCCGAATTTTCTTTCCCTTTTTATCATCCTCCATCGCAATAAACAAAGCAATAAAGAAAATCACTTGCAGATCAAGCAACAAACACAAGTAAAAGACAGAATTAGATACTATAAATGATACCCTAGTTATATATATACATATACAACCTAATTGGTACTGCTTGGAATCACTTCTCTATTTTCTTGTAAATGTTATGAATACTCCCTGGTTGGTTGCTGGGAAAAGAAAATAAAATACTGAAGAAGTTGTGTTTTTTATTTAGGCCAAATTACATTTGGTGTTCTTAAATTTTGTTCCTAATTATTTTAATTAGTTCGATTTTGAGATTCGTAATTTTAGATTTTACCTCAATTTGATCTAATTAATAATGTCAAATAGGATTTTTGACGAAAAATAGGTATTGAGTTGATTGCGGTTAACAAGTTCATAATTTTTCTTATAAAATCATAACTCATTTTGTTTATATGCTCATTTTTCATGAAAAACACTAATAATTGTAATTAATTAGATGAAATTGAGACAAAATTATAAATTTAGGATCAAAATCAAATTAATTGAAATTATAAGGACCAAAATGACACAAGAGCCAAATATATAGCATATCGATGTCTATTGGCCTTTTATTTATTGGGCAAAATTCATAATTTGTGGTTGGAATACTTTACCCTCTAATGATTTATATATTAGCCAGAAAGTTCCAATGTAGTTTTGGACTAAAATATCATCTGTAATTCTGGAAATTACAAATTGCTTAAAATATGAATTGCCTCATGTGATTCTGAAAATTACATTATGCCCCTTCAAGTTTCTAGTCATATAACAACTTAATCTTTTTAATAATAAATCATTAAACCAATTAACAATTCATGCAATTTTATTGTTATACAAGAGAGTAATTCAAGATTTTATTTTTTAAATTAATTATGTTAAATAAAAAATTCTACAAATGAGGAATTTGTAATTTCAAAAACTACAAGGAAAAATTCATACTAAGCAAACTTTAGTAGATGTATTTGTAATTTTCCCTTAATTCTGTCATTAGTAGGAAGAGCCTCTCTCTCTAAGCCTTCTACTGGATGTGCTACCAGAGGTGGGAGGGGTTCTAGCCGCCGACCTCCTCTCTCCTCCTTCCACTCATTTTTTCTCCTTAAAGTCTTTTTATTTAATAATATTGGAAGCTTGTTATTCTAACCCTTTTCAGCGCTACCACCTTCCCGCCTCCATGGATCCACTCTCACTAGATCTGCTTCATCTTCTTTAGATCTGTCTCTGGCCACTTGTGTTGGCATTGCCTCTCTCTCTTTTCAATCTTCCAAATTTGATGTTTGGCCTGTGCCCAAACTTTCACCCTCGCGTCCAAAACCTTAAGCTCTAGTTTCAGATCTTCTCACAATATGAAAACTGATGCTATTTAACGCGTTCGTTTCATGTTAGGCAACCACCTCAGCCTCAATGTTCCATCATCTTGACTTGCAGAGGTAGGGTCTTCAGATTTCAAGTTGAAGGTTGCGATTTAATGGAGTTTTGGATGCGTTTGGCGACTTGGATCTGGTTGTTTTCAGTTTACCTTTTTACTTTTTTATTATTTGTTGTAACAATCCTCCCCGTGTGGAGGTTGTATCCTTCCTTTGTGGGGGTTTTTTCTCCTCCTCTATAGAGGCTAGGATTCTTCCTCCTATGGAAGTTTGGTATCTCTTTATGAGATCTTTTGCTACCACTATATGAGATTAATCCGATTTTTTATCAATTTTTTAATGAAATTTTTTTTCCTGATCTAAAAATAAATAAATATCACACACATCATTTTAAGGAGTGGATTTGATTTTTTTTTTATATTTTAAAATAAGATAAAATTAACACAATAGTAAGACAATTTTAACCTCATCTTCTCCAAACTCAAAATTAGATTAAGACGTTTATTAAAATTAAATTAAATTAAATTAAGATATAATTAACAATTTATCTAAAAGATAAATATAATTAACGATTGGTTTTAAAATATAAAATAAAATAAATAATATTTAAATTTTGATCTAAAATATAACTAAATTTAAATTAGATTAAAAAGATAGATATTAAAATAAATAATTAAGAATTTAAAATTAATTGTGACTTAAAATATAATTAGATTAAAAAGTTAAGAATTACAATAAATAATTAAAAAAAGCCTGATTAATTGTGATTTAATTGAATTAATGTAATAAATTATAAATTGTGTATGAAAGAGGATAGAGAACGAAAAAAGAAAACATAAGATTTGAGAGTATTACAGTAATTTCACATATATATAGTTAACCATTATGTTTTAGTCTAAAATCACATGGGTGAGGCCTTCTTACAATATTTGAACCATAAAAAGTAGCGTATTCAAAGTTTAAGTCACAATATATTCGTAGTTTAAATTACAAGAGGATAAAATAAATTTTACATTTTTTTTGTTGCGTGAATTAGCTTTATGGATTTCTGTATTTTCTCTACAAACGATACAAATGTTGAGAAATTTAGGAGAATTGAATATCTGATGAAAGAGTGATTATTTGGTTTAGTAAATTTTGTTATAAAAAAAATTAAAAAATAGACTTTTAGCGACAAATTTAAAAAATGTCCCCAATAAATAGTATACTTTTAGGGATAAAATAATTTCGTCCTAAATTATTTACTTTGTTTAGAGGAAAATTTTGGTCCCAAATGAATAAGAATTCATTACTAAATGTCCAATTTTGTCACTAAAAATTTTATTAAAAAAATGATATTTTTTAAAACTAAAATATTCTGTTATTAAAAAGTGATATTGTTGCTAAATTTTTGTCTCTAAAATTATATTTGTTATAGTGTCATTGGATAAATTACTCCATAAGTTTTAATTTTATGGCTTAATAAATTGGATTGATTGAAATTTCTCATTTTATGGCCTTATGATGGATTAGATTAGTTTTAAGCACTCGTAGAAGGACCCGTTTCTTAATCCTAAGTTACATAAGTGAGTTCACATCTTTTCTAATCATAAAATATATATTTAAAATAGAAAAATTGCAAATAAATTGGCTTACCAATTTTGTTCCTCGCGTTTGTGAAAGGTAGAATTCTTCTCCATAGAGAAAGCGAGATGACATGTCCATTCTTTTACTCTGCCAAAAGAAACCCAAATATCAGTGATTACCTCCGATCAGGATTAGTCAAGAGGACCCTCTGACGGTCAAGTTAGAATATTGTTTGGCCATGAGAATTTGTGTTTAAATGAGGGTTCTTGGATTACCAATTTTATGTTCTTTTTTGCTTCACCTGTTACGCCTTTTATAGTTTTCTTGACTTGAATCCCATCCGCTGGATCAATATTTGATCTGAGGGTTCTGCCCACTCCTGGCTCTGGTCAGACAAGTGGTCAATATAGCGATCCCGGGTTTACCCTTGTTGTACAGTGATTCGGACATGTGTCCGTAGATGTTGGTAGTTGATTATTATCTTGTTTACATCCTTTTTACTTCGTATTTGAGTTATAGGATGTGTTGGGCAAGTTTGTTACAGGTTGGTTGAGTTTAGAAACCAAAGCTAGTTGCCCAGATTTTGACCTGTCCGCTCGAACGGGGGTTTGGGCGCTCGAGCGGGAGTTTTACCCATCCAGTATTTCCTGTGCAGCGTTGGACGCTCGAGCGTGGGGTTGGCCCGCTCGAGCGGTATTGTGTGAGTGACGCTCGAGCGGGGAGTTGGAAGCTCGAGCGGAGACCTGGTTCTGTAAAAGTTCTGGGAGTGTGTATCCGCCGCTCGAGCGGGATTGTTGACGCTCGAGCGGAAGTCTGTGAGTGACGCTCGAGCGGGGAGATTGACGCTCGAGCGGGTGAAATTATCGAATCTTTTACACCAAAATTTATAGTTTACCTTATTTATCTTTGTGTCTTCACTTTAGATTTACGGTGATGCCTCCTACAAAGGTTTAGGATATGTACTAATGCAAAATGGTAAAGTGATTACTTATGCCTCTCGTCAATTTCGCCCACATGAAAAGAATTATCCAACACATGACTTTAAACTAGCAGCCGTGGTGTTTGCTTTGAAAATTTGGTGACACTATTTGTATGGTGTGACTTGTGAGGTGTATACTGACCATAAAAGCTTGAAATACTTCTTCACCTAAAACAGTAAGACCTTTTTCAGGCGATTGAGAAGTAGATTCAGAAATGGTCAATTTATTTATTTATACATATCTGTTGTAGAATGTGGATATAGCTTTTACGCTTATCTGTGGATATTGTTGTTATACATATCTGTTGAGAATGTGGATATAGCTTTTATGCTTATCTGAATGTGAGATATAGTTTTTATACATATCTGTGGAAATGATGATAGAGCTAGCATGCTTATCTGTTGAAAAAGGGAAAATGAAAGGAAACTTGGACTCATAAGTTGTATGACATAAATATGTGATTTATGTGATTGTATCAGTGTTGGCCATCTATCAATTGCTAATATTTTAGTCATTGTTCATGGTTGGTTTAGTGTATTTCTACTGGGCTGTGGCTCACCCTATATGGGAATATCATTTTTAGGTGCAGGTAGCATGCCACCTCCAAGGACGTAGCTTGGGAGGCTAGAGGTAGGCGGACTTTTGTTGTTTTGTTCTTTGATGTATTACATGTATATTCAAGCCAAGGGCTTAATGTGTAAATGAGTTGGTACTCTTTTTGTTGTAACCAAGTGTTAACTTGGAAAGCTGTAAGCCCGTAGGGCATTTTGCTTTTGTTGTTAACATGTAATACTTATGTATTGAAACTCTGTTGAATAGAAGAAGGTGGTTATTTCATGTCAAAGAATGTCTTATTTGATGGGTTTAATGTTATTATTTTGAGGGTGTTACAGTCAAGTTGCCTTTGACTTTGATCATTGGATCATCCTCCTATAGACGGCTTACATTATGTCAGATGTTAGTGGCCAATTTGCCAAGTGTTACGTTTGTTGTATCAAGTTGATCGAACAGACTTACCGTCTAGTAGGCTTGATCTATACTCTTGTACTTACTGCTTTGATGTTTGTACCGTTGGATGAAGATAAATCTGTCGTTCCTCTTTCATTCTACAGATCTCTTTTTGGAATGAGATCTTTTACTCTTTATTGTTCCTTACGTTCCTAGTCACGTGTCTATGTATTGCTGACTGCCTCTAATGGGCTCCTTAGAAATTTACTTGGGCCTTCCATTTTCTTTTGGTTTGCTTTGCCTAATTACTTTGGGTTTGGGCCAATATTTTATACCCCACAGCATTTATTTGAAATACTACCTTTCAAAAAGGTTTATTGGTGAAAAGTCTATATTTACTTAGATACAACATTGCATCCAATAATTAATCTTTTTTTGTTGATAAGACACGTTGAATTAGATTTCTGTGAAGTTTAAGATGTCAGGATACAATTATATAAATTTTGGAGGAATCGAATTAAAATTATATAGATTTTCAAGGGACCAAAATAAAACTAGATAAATTTTGTATAGGCCAAAATGCTTTTTTTATTTTTATTCTTATAAATATTTTTTTTATTTTTATAAATACTTAAAATAGGATTGGCCAAATAATATTTTTTGTGAAGTTTTTTTTTGGGGGGCTCACTGCCACCAAACTCTTTGTTTGGTCCATCTATATCCGGTAATTACTCGACTAAAATTGGTAATTGTCTAGAAGGGGAGAAAAATATAATATTTAACTATTGATAACTCTTTAACTAATAACTTTTATGATAAATTACACTCTCCTCTCTTGAGGATTAAAAACAATATAATTACCATACATTTTTTATATAATTACTAAAATAAATAAAAACAAATATATATTTTAATTAAAAAAATAATATTTTTTTTTCTTATTTATACCATTGACAAAAAATTGATGAAAGTGATGTAAATTAGAACCTCAAAACAGATTAATATAATTATATCAAAAGAATAAAACTAATTATATTGTTTTTAAATTTCAAGACAAACACAGATTAAGTGAATATTTAGTCATTGATATTTATTGATTATGATTATTAAATGACCCTAAGATCTGTGTTTGATCTTTATTCCAAGTCACTGTAGAAGTTGTGAAAGTGGTGGAAAATGATGGATCCTTTCTTACTTGGTTAAAAACTCAACTTCTGCATATGCATATGCTCATTAACATTGCACTAAAGCATTGCACTACAAAATAAAAATAAAAATAAAAATAAAAAAAACATGGCACTAAAGCAGTTATGCATATAATGTGAGGAAATATAGAAAGCGACACAAACAGATGTTGATCACCAAATAAAGAAAATGTGTATACATCATATTCATCATATTTAAAGAATGCTAGCAAGACAAAACTGAGACAGACCTCTATACATTCACCAATTGTTTTTGTGGAAATTCCTGGAAAAAGTTACATGGCTAATGACAAAAATGTAACTGGTATGAATATGATGATATTCCCCAATACTTTCCTAAATTCCTAGTATAATTATAAAGCTTACCCATAAATCTAAAACAACAGAAGTGTACGAATTCTCTCAACAGATCAGAAAATGCCAAATTGGTACTGGTAACAGGGTTCAAGCTGGTAACAAGGCTCAAGCAACATTGCAAGATCATCATCCTCAAAATTGTCGATCGCACTCGTATCATCAAACCAACAAGCTTCCTCTGTTTCTTTCCCCATTACGATTACTCCTCTGTTTTTCTGCAAATTGTCGATCGCATTCGTATCATCAAACCAACAAGAAGTTTGCTCTGTTTCTTTCCCCATTACCACTACCCCTCTGTTTTTTTGCTCCTTCACCATCTTCAAGAACTCGATTCTTGCTTTCAAAACCTCCAATTTTGACTCCAACTTTCCCAAGAAACTCATCGCCGACTCTGCCGATAACCCATCAAGCCAACCATAACCATCCTCATTCCCCACCAAAACTTTCTTGGCAACTTTCTCAGCACCCAAACAACAATCAGAAAAAGAAGATTCACAAGTTTTCCTAACTGGGCTTTTCTTGGCAGACTGTTTGTACATCTTGATCAGAGCTTTCACTTCGTTTGGGTTTTGGGGCCACGTGTCGACCTCTCCATTGGGGCCGAAACAGAGTGTGAAGACATTGATATCGCAGAGAATCGAGAGCTCCATTGTCTTCTTGATAACACAGTTCTTTCTCTTCATGTAAGTAACTCTCAGAGCTTTCTTGTTCTCAATTCGCTTCATGGGTTTCTTACCCTTTTCATCATCCTCCATCGTGATAAACGAAGCACTTGCAAATCAACCAACAGACACAAGTAGAGTGAAAGAGAATTAGATGATACAATCTAGAGAGAGAGCAATACCCTAGTTATAGATTGGAAGACTCAAATCTTTTGGAAGATATTCTTTATTACCATATATTTGATTTGAGATTTTGTTGCCGATTTGGAAAGTTTTGTAATTCTAAAATATAAATGATTTTTTGTAATTCTAAAAATTATAAATATTTTATTGTTAAAAATTTTTATTTAACAAAATTAATAAAAAAAAAAAAGAAGAAGAAGAAGAAGAAGAAAAGCATTAAATATTCTATTCTATTGGGAGGTTCTAAAAAATTAACTTAATTATTAATTAAAATATAATTTTAACATTATTAACACCTATTAATTGACTTGATAGAAAGTAATTCGAATTTTAAACAAATTTCATGATTATATTTATAATTTACCTAAAAAATAAAAGTTAAAGGAATAAAGTGAAATTAACACTTTTAACATTAAATAACTTCATTTGCTCTAAAATATTTGTTTTTTATTTTATTTTTTATTGTTTCAAAATATTAGTCTCTTTTCAAAAATTAAGGAATAAAATAATATGAATTTACTATTTTGCCCTTCTTTTAAATTCATTAATAACATAAAAAGTATAATTATGATAATTGACATTCTCAAAAATATTATCAAAGGGTAATTTTAAAAAATTAATATTTTTAAAATGTAATAATTGTAATATCAAAAAAAGTTGGATTCCTCAAAAATTATTATTATTTTGAGACAGATGGAGTAACACTTATACCGTTAAAAATAATAACAATACTCCATCCGTCCTCAAATAATAATCCTTTTTGGAGAATTTAACTTTTTTTTTATAGTACAATTATTACATTTTAAAAATATTAATTTTTCAAAACTAACCTTTGATAGTACATTTTTTAGAAATATCAATTGTTATAATTGTATTTTTTGTATTGTTAATGAATTTAAAAAAATGGAAAATTAAAAAATATATATTATTTTATTCCTTAATTTTAAAGAAAAATGACTAATATTTTGAAATAATAAAAAATAATAATAATAATAATATTTTAAAATGGAAAGAGTAATAATAATAATAATAATAAGGGTAAACTACAAATACACCCCTTGAGGTTTGCTTAAAATACAAATTGTCCCCTGTGGTTTGAAAAATTATAAATACCCCTTTATTAGAATTTTTTAACAAAATTAACTAAAAAAATGAAATTTATAATTGCTCTCCTGTACAATAATAAAATTACTTGAATTATTAATTGAAAAATATTTTTAACATCATTAAAAACTGTTAATTGATTTGATGATTTATAAATAAAATAGGCCATTTATTATGAAATTAGGAATCTCAGGGGTGGAATGTAATTTTCAAAATCATAGGAGACGATTCATATTTTAATCAAATCTTAAGAAGTGTATTTGTAATTTACCTTAATAATAAATACTAAATACTAGGACACAGAGCTGTCCTGGTATTTGATATAACCCAACAAGCATGACAAGTTAACACCTGTTCCCAAACAATTCCAATTCAGAAGTAACTTTTCAGTTAGCTCTTGCTCTACAACATTATCTCCTATACCTGATGACACAGTCATAAATGCCGAAGAACATGAATTCCAAGATGTTAAAATAGATTTAAGTTGGAATATCCCTAAAGTACCTATTAAAGAAATTTATAAAATCAGTTTTTAAAGGCATCCTTTAATATTGATTTGCGTGTAAAAACTGTCAAACAAGTCTATGCTTTAACTAAAATTCAAGAAACATGTCATCTGCTAAGTAAAGAATCAATTAAAAAATATATATCCGCTGGTCATAATTTTATCCATATAGGATTAATCCAAGTAGCGGTCAAACCTTTAACACAACAAGGACTTAATTCCTCTGTTTTATTATGTTTACGCGATGCCCGATTTATTAATTATCATGAAAGTTTAATCGGTATGATGGAATCAGGACTTCAACAAGGACCTGTCCATTTTAATTGTTTTCCTGATTTTACTTTAAGTCTTCGTGACCCTCACATCTTAAAAGCTCTTATATTAAGCATACAGGTTTCTGGCACATTTACTAGAATACTTGGTGGTGCCCATTCTATTTCTTTAATATACCGTATTTATTATAAATGTATTAAAACAAATCTTAATGTACATGCTTTAGTAAAAAGTCCAAAAGACAAAACCTTACTTATTCAATGTAGTACTAGTAAAACAAACATAGAAGTTCGTAAAACCATATGTTGGAATGATATAACTCTTCCAAATGAATGGATTACAGTCAATGAAAATTATTCTCAACCACACCAATCTAATCAAAATGATGTCCGACAAATCCAACAATTCAATGATGGTTCAGTTCACATACGATTTAATCGCCTAACTAGTCACTCCTCTCGTCGTAGTACCTCTAGTATCCCTACTGATGACGATAAAATTTTTAGTACCTCTTTATTTACTCGCAAAGATCGAAAACTTTTTATTGGTCAACCCCTACATACTGCTAATAGTAAATTAAAAGGAATCGATAACTCCTCTACATTTCAAATTAGTAAACCTGTTTATTCAACACACACACATCTTCATGAAGAAGATACCACATCTCAAGATTCACCCACTCAAACAGACTTTGAAGTCATTCCTCCAGTTAATCCACAATTGTTAACTCTTAGTAAACATTTTATTCCAGATCTTAATAAATTTCATTCTGAATTTAAATCTAAAGATAATAAATTAAAACGACAGATTTATAGGCATACTTATAGTTAACGACAATAATCCAAAATAATTAAGACAGTGTATAAATTTATGAATGAAATCAGTACTGAAGTCAATTTCTTTGATTATCTTGAAAATTATTATAAAAAATTAAATACTATTACAAAAACTAAATGAAAAACTTCCCCTAATACTACTGTTTCTTCTAGTCATCCTCCTTTAGAAACCATCCTCATTGAACATAAAGGATCACTTGTACATGCTTCTCCTTTTAAACTTCTTGGTGATGAATCTAAAATTAAAAAAGTGATTGAACAAAATAATTATACAAATCAATGTTTAAAAATTATTGGTAAACAATTAGATAAAATTGAAACTCATTTTGATGATTACTCAACTAGCCATACATCAACTAGTAAACCTTTAAACAAACCTCTTATTAATCTTCCTAGCACTAGAAAAAGGTTAAGTCCAGTTACTCAAGATACTAATACTGTTGAAACTATTGAACATTTATTTACTAAGTTATCTACCCCTACTAACGACAAAGGAATTATTGTCTTAACACAACAGCCACCTTTAGAATTTACTAGTGACTCTGACACATCTACTAATGAAATTAGTCAATTAGCACAACAATTTCAAACTACTCATCTTAATCGAATCGTACATCCGAAAGTTAATCCTGCTACTCTTACAAAAAATTGGTATAATAAACCAACTCTACCTGATCTTCAATTTGAAGAAACTAATATTAGCAATCAATTTTTTGTTTCTGCTAAAAAATTGTATGAATGGAATATTGATGGTCTTAGTGAAAAGCAAATTCTTCAAAAGTCAAATCACATGTCTATGGTAGCTAATAGTTATCTTAGTAATTATCCTGACTACACTCAACCTGAAATCGTCTATTTACTTACCTTTGGTTTTACTAGTATGCTTAAATCTTGGCGGGACAAATATCTCACTAAGGATATGCGGTTAGATATTCAAAATGCAATCCAAGTTGGTGAAAATGACTTCCCTGTATTTAATGAAGACTTAGGAACAAGTAAACTTGATGGCATTAACACTTTAATATTTACCATAATCAAACATTTTATTGGAACACATACTAATATTCATTCTCGCATCCATGATCACCTTAGTAATTTAACTTGCCCTACATTAAGTGATTTTCGTTGGTATAAAGATGTCTTTACTTCTAGAGTTATGCTTAGAGATGATTGTACTAAATCATTTTGGAAAGAAAAATTTATTAATGGATTACCTAGTCTTTTTGCCCATAAAATTAGAGATGTCCTTAGTCAACCTACTGGTATTATTGAATATGATAACTTACTTATGGTGATATAATCAGTACTATTCAGAAAGAATGATTGAAAATGTGTATTGATATGAAACCTAGGCAAAAAGCAACTAGAGATAAACATAAGGCTAAATATGAAGTAGGTAACTTTTGTGAACAATATGGTCTACCCCCTATATTCCTATAGCGATCTCAGTTTTGACCCGACCTTTATTATGTTTCGGACTCGGGTTCCGTGGTTAAATATTATGTCCATGTCTTGTTTTCCTCCTTAGTCCCTTAAATTTGAGTTTTGGAATATGTTGGGCGTGTTTGGATCAGGTTGGTTGTTAGTTGGTTTTGATTGTTGTTGCCCAGATTTTGGCTTCTTCGCTAGACCGAGACTTCTTGCGCTTGAGCGAGCCTTGTAGAAATTGCTTCTTCGCTTGAGTGAGGTTTCTTGCGCTCGAGCAAGATTTGAGAGTTCTCAGGTTTCTTTCCCAGACATAGATTTTCTAGAAAGGGTGAAGTTCTTCGCTCAAGCGAGGCTTCTTGCGCTCGAGCGAGTCTTGTGAAATTACTTCTTTGCTCGAGCGAGGTTTCTTGCGCTCGAGCGAGCGTGTGTGTTTGTAAAACTTCTGAAGCTGTGTATTCTGTGCTCAAGCGAGGTCATTTGTTCTGTTTGGTCACTCGAGCGACAACTCCTTCGCTCGAGCAAAGGTCGCCTATATCAGTTCGCAGTTGAGTCTTTTTACATCACTTTTTGATTTCCTTTTTGCCAAAAACCCTAATCCAGCTCCCTCTCTCTCTAAAACTCTACTTCTCTCTACAAATCTCCTAGAATCTAAGGGTTTCTACTCTACTCCCTTTGAGAAAAAGGTAGAGCAACTTGTGGGCTTCCATTTGATCCAAGAAAGGTTGAGTTTTGGACATCTTCAAAGTTTTTCCTTCTCTGCTTTG